AAAGATAAACACAATGATATACAAAATGAGTGACTAAGTTGTTTGCTGAATCTGTCACGAGGTCAATCCCTATAATGACCTTGACTTTCCTTTGCCTCTTTTGTCATGTGATCATGTTATTTACTATTCCTTCTAAGACGGAAAACAATCTCCCTAGATCAATACGAGTTTTTCTAACATGTTTTGTCTTCATTCACATGCAATATACAATTGCTCCAAGTAAAACACGCTTATTTTAGAGTTTCTATGATCGAGCCACTGAAAATGAAGGCACACCTTGTTGGTATAAATAGTGAATTTCAATTTTTTTTAAGCCTTCCTTAGTTATTCTATCATGAAAATCTCTCTCATCCGAATGTGTCTGAGTTCATTCGTGTAACCTTTTTTACTCTAGTGTCATATTTTACCTATTAAGTTAGTTCGGTAGGATACCAATTTTTCTTTATATATATATATATATATATATATTTTGTTTGGTTGGAATCTCAAATAAAAGTATATTTCAACAAGTTGAGTAAAATTTAAATATTGCGACATAAATTTAATGTCTTATTTTATTAAATCATCATTAAGTTATTATTATTTATTTCTTTATTAAAAAACAAAAAATATAAAAAGACAAAACATTACATATGCAGGTTTTTTGTTCTTTTTAAGCAAACAGAAAATTCTCACCAAATTTTGATTTTAAAATATTATTAAAAAAAATGATTTGTCAAATAATTTATTGACAAATTGATGGATTAATTCTGGCCCTTTTACTGAATTCTGATATTAAAAAAAATAATAATTATTTAATAATATTATATAAATGTTTTATTTTTATTTTCTTTGGTTTTGAAAGGGAGGGAAGACGTTGATTTATGAGGTGGTGGTTGAATAAGTTCTTTTCCCACAAGCTATATTCATTTTGGATTTGAAACATAAGGCTTAGCAATTTATATATATATATATATATATATATATATATATATATATATATTTATATTTATTTATCTTTTTTTCTTTCCTCCATCAAATACTTTTTCAAATTTAAATTATCTTCAAAAGACATAAAAGGTATAGCTCATGACTAATAAGTACGTATGACTATCCTACATATGCAAACACCCTCTATCCATGCTAACACATTTACTCGATCTAAGATTGTTCTCAAACCATTATTTAATATCATAAAGCTATATGTATAGACAACAGTTTTGGAGGTTCCTAGATCGTTCAAGTTCATTCTTTTTCTTGAATCATCCTAGATAGATACAAAATATGTGCCCTAAGACATATATTGGAAGAACAAAAACTCACGTTCCCTTGCTAACTTCTGTTGTTGGCTCTGCTTATAGTTTTTTTTTTTTTTTAATTGGTAACTATCTTTTGATGGGGTGTGGTGGCACACATGAGTGCGTAGACATCCCACCAGTTAGTATATGTTTCTTCCTAACTTCAATTGTCCAAATCAGCCCAAATGAGAAGTTTTAAAAGTTGTAGGCCATCCCATATGTTCAAGCATCAAGATTTATGATATTTATTGTGTTTGCATGACCCACACTACTACCGCCCCGATTACTTTCTCATTCGCTCTACAAAAGTTTTTGAGTAGGTCGAGTACATCCATTTTAGACTTTTGAATCACTCGATTCCATCAAGAATCAAGGAAGAACGGAAGATACAAATTTTGAAATTCTTGATTTTGGTTTTATATCAAATCTACAAGTTTTACTTTGTTGTTTCCATAAGTGTTTCTCACAAATTTTGATTATATACAAGATTTAGTGAGGTTGTTAAAGTAGAATGAATCTTAGTCGGTGCGTTTCCAGTTTCCATAATACAAAGCTGACAAAGATAACGAGGAATATCACAAAAAACACACTCCCAGCTGGCTGCCAAAACAAGGTCGGTTACTATAATCGACGGCCATTTATAAGATAAACAAAAGCATTCAAATTCCTTTTTTAAAAAAATATTAAATTAGAAGAATCTCGTACAACATCATCGAACCTCTGACTTTAAAATTTAAATACGGTTTTTTTTTATAATAATTACAGAAAAAAACCCACATCGAATCTGTTCGAGAAAAATATAAATTTAACAGTTGGAGTCTATAAATAAAGATGCTAATTCTATTTGTATGAGACCATTTTGGAGGTATGTTCTTACTCGATGATTCTCGAAGAAACTACGAACTTATTTGTCAAACTCTCCCTTTATATTTATTCTTCTACACACTTAGCTTCAAACATAATAAAGGCAGCATTTTTTATTTTTTCCACAAACTTCTCAAGAATAAGATGAACAATAAAGTAAAAAAGTAGCAGAAATTTGGGTAAAAAGGGGTAAAAAAAAACCTTGTTCCTTTTGTCAGTTCTTTTGAATTGGAAATAAAGCTGAATATGTGTTGGAATTTGAATGAATATGTTTGAATTGAATATATGTTTATATATTGTAAAAGGGAAGAAGGGCAAAGTGATTTTCCAAATATTCTACAAGCTCTCCTCTCCCTTACCAGATTCCTTTTTATCTTTCAGCACCTCATAATTCATACCCACTTAGATGTGAAATGTTACTGTGAAAAGTGGGTCTTCAGAGATTTAACAGTGTCTGTCGCTTACTGCATTTAGAGAGGGAGAGAGAGTTGATAAGCTCGTCGGTTTATTCAAATTCAAAGTCGAACATGTCGGAATCATAGATATGGCAATCATCTTTCAATTAGTTGTTTTGGTGTACTTTGATTGTGGGTAGAAACCAATTTTAGCATTTCAAATAAATCACTAAAAACTACAAAGAAATAAGCTTTGAATGTGTGAGATCTCACGTTGATTGGAGAGAGTAACGAAAACATTCCTTATAACAATATGAAAATCTTTCTCTAGTAATCGCATTTTAAAACTGTGAGGCTTGACGATGATAACTAACAAACCATAGCGGACAATATTTGCTAGCAGTGAACTTGAGCGGTTACAAACGGTATCAAAGGCAACATCGAGAAGTGTGCTAGTGAGGACGCTGAGCTCCCAAGGGGGATGGATTATGAGATCTCACATCCGTTGAGAGGGAACCAAAACATTCCTTATAAGTGTGTGGAAACCTCTTCTTAGTAGACGCGTTTTAATACTGTGAGGCAGACGGTGATTCATAATGGGCTAAAGCAGACAATTTTTGCTAATGGGGGCTTTGAACTGTTACAAATGGTATTAGAGTCAAACACCAAGCGGTGTGCCACCAAGGATGCTGGTCCCCAAGGGGGTTGGAGAGGGGAACAAAGGATTCCTACTAGAAACGAAGCATTACTTATAAGGGTGTGGAAACATCTCTTTAATAGACACATTTTAAAGTCGCGAGACTAACGACAATATATAATGAGCAAAAGTGGATAATATCTACTAGCGGTGGACTTGAGCTATTATCAATAGTGTTAGAGTCAAACACTAAGTGATGTGCTAGCAAAGATGCTCGCCCTCCAAGAAGGGTAGATTGTGAGATCCCACATCGATTGGAGAGGGGAACGAAACATTCTTTATAAAGTTTTGAAAACCTCTCCCTAGTAGACACGTTTTAAAACCCTAAGATCGACGACGATACACAGCTGTCCAAAACGAACAATATCTACTAGTAATAAAGTTAAATCGTTACAAATGTCGAGAAAACCACCCACGTAAGTAAATGAAAATGAAAGTAAATTAAAAGCTAGAAGAGATGTTATGAATGAAAAAAAGAGAAAGATGGCATGTGGAGGGGTCTTGGAATTCTGCGACCACCTTTGGTTGCTGGTGTTGGTACGTACCCACAACAGCAACCACTCCTCTTTTATGTCAATCTCTCTTCCCTCTTTCTTTTGTGTTTGATACCCATTTCCACAGACACCCTTTTTCTTTTCTATTGGTTTTTGTGAAAGCTACATGGATTATTACTCACCCTTATTTTCAAAAGCTTGCCCATCCCTATACCTTTCTATTCTCCATTCATTCCATTATTTGAAGGAAACACCTTCTCTTCATATCTATTATGCATATACGCTTTGTATTGAAACAACCGCCCTCTCTCACTCCACCAAGTAGTTGGTAAACCAAAATTTGGAAATTTCTCTTCCACTCCAACTAATTTGGATGTCTACACAAGATTCAACCAAAAAAACAAGAACCAAAAGTTGTAGAGCAAATCTTGTGCTTGGATTTTTAGAATGCCTCTCACCGTTTTCTCTACATTGTTATTATTATTATTATTATTATTATCGTCGTCGTCGTCGTCTTCAAGACATCCGTACATGTACCTAAATATTCTCACATTCATCATTTTTATTATGACAATATCATTGTAATTTTGTCCTCTCTCTCTCTCTCTCTCTCTCTCTCTCTCTTTCATTTACACATGCACACACAGATGTCTTGAAGTGAAAGAAAATGAAGCATGTGGGTAGCAACGCCATGGCCTGTTAAAGCTTCATCACTTATCCTACTTTTTTTTTTGAGTATCATTCAATTTGAAAGACAGAGATGCTGAAAGAAAAGAATTGAAGTGTAGGCATCAAATGAGGTCAACAGTTTTCCCTTCAAAATCAGAGCTTCCTTAAAAGCTGTGCTCACAATATAATCTACTCAAAATTATTTACTTATTTTCTCCACGTCCATACTTACCAAATCTTCGTTTTGTTAGTATGTGTAATAATTATGAGTTCAATTAAATTTTTTGAGGATTATACCTCAATCCATGCAAATTCAACACAAAATTTTCTATTTTGATAATTCTCCAACATTGTTGTGATATCCTACTTGGTTGGGGAGGAGAACGAAACACCTTTATAAGGGTGTGAAAATCTTTCATTGCGTTTCAAAAGCACAAGGGAAAGCTTGGAAGGACAATATCTCCTAAGATCTGGGTCTAGGATCTGGGTGGGTCGTTACCATTATGAATATAATTGAAAATAAAACGCAATTCTAACTCCTAATCATATCACATTCTATTAAGAAGAAAAAAAAAAAAAAAGTAGACATACATACTTAGTATGATTCAATACAAACAAAAAAACATTCTTTGGTTCGATCCAACTCGATCGATTTCAGTACCTTAACAAAAACATACCCAGATCATAATCACACAGATTCTCAAAAGAAATTGAAGCGAAATTTAAACAAATATTTCTACAAAGCACAATCTTTTTGTATAAAATAAAGAGAGAGAGAAGCAGACTGCCACATTTTTCCTCAGTTCTTCAACTATATCATGCAGGATCATTGAGAGGCTGAAGAGAGGTAGACGAGTGCCTGGATATTTTTGTTATGAGTAATTTCTATAAACCCTAAGTAGCTTAATAAAAGATTTAACTCATCAAGTGATGCTCTTACTTGTTTCTTACTTCAAATCACTTGACCACTTAAATCTTAATAAGTTGATAGAAATGAAACTTACAACAAAGCTGTGGGAGACACCATTTTGAAGATGATCAATTGGGGTTTCAATGATTGAAGTCACAAGAAATATGGCCACTTGACGAAGAACTGATACCCGAAAGATCTGTCCACCCATTTCCACCGTTCCAAAATTGATTATTGTCCGAATTGTTGACACCCAAATTTGATGATTTCAACAAATTCAGCACTTGGGTTTCTTCAATCTTCACTGGAGGCAAATGGGTTGCTCTTGAATTTGGATTTAGAATTGAATTTGTTGCGTTGCTGCCGCCTTCACTAATTTGAAATGGGTACAACCCTGTCGGCGTTTCTAGGTCAGCTGAAAGAGGAAAGCTTTGGGAATTGCGCCAGTGATGATTTAGAAGGGTGCTGTTTCCGATGTCTCCAGCTTGAGTTTGGATCTCATTGAAACTCAACCCTAAATTGGCGGTTCCATAACGAGAGAAATTGTTCAACGTAGCCATGAATGAAAGATGAGGATTTTGAGGCTGTAACTGACCAATAATATTCTCAGCGTTGCTACTATGCAAGGGAATTGTATTGGTGGGTGAGTTCGAATTGTTATTGTTACTTGTTTCGTTCCCGGTGGCCGGAGATTTTGAGCGTCTACTTTTATTCTTTTTATTCCGACGACAACCACCTCCAACCGGAACGTTTCGAAGAGCGCCACCACGAGTCCAGTATCGACGACAGGTCTTGCAAAAGTGGCGAGGCTGAGAGAGGCTATAGTTGTTGAAGTAACAGAACTTGGTGTTGGAGGAATCACATCGAGGACATTTGAGGGCAGTCTCAGGTAGTGGTATGTTAGCTAGCCGAGCTCGGTCGACCATCGAACCACGGCGGATCGAGCCAATCCCGGTGGCACCGACATGAGACGGAAGCGCAGTGGATGAGGGTTGCAGATGGTGAGGAGATCCATTATTGGGTATCTGAAGATGATGATGATGATGATTTGATTGCTGCAAAACCCACAACAAAAAAGAAGAAGAAAAAACTTGAGATATATATGGGATATTCAATAGAAAAGAGGGAATAGGGAATAATTCTTTGCATAGGTGAAGAAGAAAACCATTACCTGATGCCAATTGGGGGGAGGATCTAAATAGAGTGGAACAGAAGAGAAATCCATGGAGGGATTGATCTTTTAGCTTTTGATAAAGTAAAATTTGAAGGTGGAGAATCGCATGCAGTTGGGGGATACCAGAGGCAAAGAGAAAAGAAGAGAAAAGAAGAGAAAAGAAAAGAAAAGAAAGGAAAAGGGAAAGAAAGATGATGAAGGGGAAGAGGAGAAGATGAGAGAATTAAAGGTAATGCTGTGGAAGCTTTTCTTTAACTTTCCCCTCTTATTCCCTTCATTCTCCTCCTTATCTTTTTGTTTTATTATATTTTTAGGGTTTTAGTGGAGCGACCTTCCTTCGCTTATAAGCTTCCTGCTGATCCTCTTTTGAGCTGTGCACGATGTGGTTAACCCCCTCAAAACCGAAGAGAAGAAGATGGAATATTAGAGTAAGGCACTGGACGGTGTGCTTTTGAGCTGTGCACTGTGTGGTTAACACCCTCTAAAATGAGGAGAAGAAGATGGAATATTAGAGTCAGACACTAAACGGTGTGCTAGAGAGGACACTGGGCTCTTAAAAGAAGTGGATTGAAAGATTCTACATCGATTAACAAAAAAAAAAAATAAAGAACGGGTTCTTTTATATTTACCACTAGTGGTTTGTATGAGTAATGAGTTGGGATTATTGAGATGATGGGGGTTTGTTGCCAATGTGTAGGTATTAGGGTTTTGGTTTTTGGTGGTGGGGTTGAGAAATAGGTAATAAAAGACACATAATTGAGGGGGTTTGCCAATGACATATGCCTGAAAACCCTTTACCTTTTACGACCACATTAGTTTCACAGAGCTTTTGTGTGGGACTCACATGGAAGCCATTCAATTCCACAAAACTATAACCATTTCCATTCTTATTATTGACCTCAAATAATAAACAATTCCATTCCACATGACCTTCTTCTTTCTTTCTTTCTTTCTTTCTTTCTTTAATTTGCCTTGTAGGTTATCTTTTTCGGATGATGTGGTTTTGTGTACGTCAAAGTTAAAGTTTAAATATAGGTTGTAACACTTCACTCCAAACTTATCACTAGTAGATGTTCATTTTGACTCGTTATGTAACGTCATCAGCTTCACAATTTTAAAGTGCGTCTTCTACAGAGAGAATTACAATACTAAATAATCAATTGTCCGTTCAAAATTCAGATAAGGATTTAAAATCTCGACTTGACATTTGATGATCTCGACATTCTTCTATGTATCTTGGATTGCTTCTGAGAGTAAAAATTATCCCTCCCGACCAACATAGCATTAATTTTTTTTATCCATCATATCCTCAAAATGACTCTCAATTCAAATATACTTTCAGTTCATTTATATACCATTTCTTTACTCATACATCACAATAATAAACTATAACTTTATGATTGGAGTAAATTACTATATATTGAAACTTTTACCATTCTATTAATTTATTTTTGTTCACGACATGTTTTCAAATCATCGTAAAAAGGCGAATTTGTGTTTCACATTGTATGATTTGAATTATTTACTTAAATCTTTGACAAAATTGCAATTTTTTTTTCTTCCAAACTTTAGATTTTTGTAGCAAGAGATGGTTACAAATAAAATGAATAAAAAGGCAAAGACATTCAAACATAATTATGGCATCTTTATTATGAATCCCTTTTTTAGTAACTTTTTCACTATTAAGTATATGGGACTTTGGTCACTTCTTAACTTTAATCATACAATCATATTACTTTGGAATTCATGACTTTTTGACTCATTTATGTCTTTCTTGTTTGTTTTATTATCCTTTCTATCATATAAATCTTCTCTCTATTAAATAAAAATCTCAACTTTTTGTTAGATTGAGACTTGGAATGAAAATTAGCTCATCTCGTGTGATATTTTTTTTGTATCTAGTTTCATAGGAAACCTTTTGAAGTGACCAAACAAAAATGGTGTCGTTTCTTCGTTGCGAAGCAACCCTTTAAAATTAAGTTTTGAAATGCTTTTATTTCTCCATCATGATCTTGACAAATCTCAACCTCCCAATCTTTATTCACTTTGAGCATAAGCTTTCATGACTTTGCCTTTTGTTTTCGTAAAAGACGCCATATCAATGGAGCTTATAAACCCATGATCAACTTTTAATTAGCTGATGTGAGACTTCTCTCCTAACAATTCTTAACAATTGTTTCGTAAGGAAAATGAACCGTGTCGAGACGCTATGGACAAAAGTCTTGAACATGCCCGTGTTTTGTGATGAAATGGGCTACAACCCTCAAGTTTATTGCGTCTCAATACTACTGATTGTCGTTGAGACGCTTGGAGCATTAGAATCTTGACTTGAAATGGCTTCAAACATGGCATACCATCTCAACGTCCTCCCCTGGGCCCAACACTTTGAACTTCATCTAATTCATTTATGAATCAAAGACTTCGAGAGTTGGTAAACTTGCAAACAGAGGGGAAAGCCCCATTAGTAAGACTCTTATAATTTTAGTTCTTTGATTCACGGGTATTTCGAGGGAATTTTACTTATAATCTTCGTTCGAGTTTTATATTTGTAGGAATAGTTTTCACTCGTAGAACTAGTTTGTCTCCATGAGTAGAATTAATTCAAAACAAATAAGTAACCTGATAATGTCGTAGAAGATCTAGAGAAATATTGAAACCGTCACATGCCGAATCTAAATTTCAAATCTTGGTTCGAATCATAGGCATAGGGCGTTACATGTGGTATCAGAGTGAAACCTCTTCCATAGGATGTAGTTTATGAACAAACAAAACAAAAGTTGGTGGACATTTAACACTCGAGTTAAGAAGAGGTGTATGAATGAACAAAAACACTATATGAGTGAGAATGATTGTATAGATACGCAATTAGGGTTAACAAATGCTTAAACGAATTGATAGTTAGAAGCTGTAGCAATTCTATGTTAAGTGACATTTCGATAACTTTCCTAGAAAACATGTTAGTGAAGATAAAACATGTCGAAAGGAACTGGGTTGGTTTGTGAAAATAGTCTTCACTCTTAAAAACGCTTTGAGATAAGTAAGCAACGTAATCCTATAATATGAGAATGTCGAAGTTATCAAGTGTTAAATTCGACACGAGATATTAGAGACAAATACGAAGAAAACAAGCGTTTGTGTTCATAATTCCAAACCCTTTTTGAGAATTTTGGACAGAAAAAAGAGAGAAAGGAGAGGGGGGGACAGTAGTAGCAATTAGAAGTGGAGGAAACGCGGTAGCGTGGAGGGAAGGTCGGAGAAACACAAAGAGGGGACAATCAACCTCAATCATCTTTCATGGGATGCTCCATGTTGGATATATTCTTCTTGCCACGTCACTCCTCCTTGGCCCCATCCCACCTCTATCATCCATCTATATAATCACACAATTATTCCACGCCACCTCATGCATGTGAATTGAGAAAGCTCAAGCTCACTGTTAACAGATATTGTCTCTTTGTATTTTCTTTTAGGAATTCGATTCAAAGTTTCAAAACATGTCTGTTAGGGAGCGGGTTTCACACCCTTATAAGAAATTCTTTGTTCTCCTCTTCAACTAAAGTGGGATCTAACAATCTACCCTCCTTAGGATCCAACATCACTGTTAGTACATTGCTCGGTGTCTGGTTTTGATACCATTTGTAACATACTGAAGTTCATTGCTACTTAACAATCTCTTTCAAACAAAGAACTTGCATTTAATTCTAAAATTTATCACGTCTTCAAATCTACAATAAATTTAATTCTCATTCCCTTATATTCAGTGTTTTAATATCCTCCAAACTTCAAACCAAGAAACACTTTCATATAAATGGGCATGAAAGCTTTTAGAATAAAAATTTACCCCAAGTAAAAAAAAAAGACAAAAATTGAACAAGTAACTAAAGATCTGATTGTGGAATATTTTACAAATGAACTCAGAAAAATGATGTTTATTAAGTGGGTATCAATATTGTGTTGATTTTAGAGGATTAGAAGAAAGAATAACAACAAAAAAAGAAAAAGGTGAGTGAAGTTGGTGGTATGGGAATCTAATTCCTCTATCCATCTTGTTGACACCTTACACTTCTTTTTCTCTCTCTTTCTTATGGGTTGATGATTTCCATGCAAAAAGCTTGGCCTTTTGTTGCAGAGAGGCCTAAATTTGTAGCAAAAACAAACCAAATTTTGCAGCTTTAACATCCCCCTCTCTCTCTCTCGCACGAGGAGTGAAGCAAATAGTAGGACCCAAGTTTTTTCCACTTTTTTTTTTGTTACTACAAATGCATGAAGGGACCTTCCATTGAATTAGGGTCAACCTTCACATGCATCAATCTACGCGGTTTCTTTGGTAGGGGACGGAGTTAACGTCTCGAATTGAATATAATATCTCATTGAATAGACACCCATAATGGATATGAATGTTGAAAATTATTGGAAAAAATTCCTCGTTCACTAATTAAGAAATTCATTAAGAGACATTTTCGAAAAGAATAGTAAAAAGGGCATCCCAAAATCATTTTATAAAAGAATTGTAAAGTAGTTATGGGAGAGAGACAAGGGAATTGTAGTGGGAGAAATTGTGTTGATGAATGCACATGCGTGTGGCAGATGGGTATCAGTGATCCTTCGGAAGGGCAAAGGCGATAGCCATAGCAAAGCTGTAAAGCCGCTGCCACCTTCTTTTCTCTGTCTCCGCATCTGCCCTGCGCCTTTCCCAACATTTCTAACAATATTACTTACCAACACTTTCCTCCTCCCTTTTCTACTTGTTTTTTTTTATTTTTTTTTTCCTTTTACCCCCACAAAAACATGAAAGAATGTTGGAGTGAAAATTGTTTGGAATCACAAATTAACAAATTACCACCACGATGGTACGATATTGTTCAATTTGAATATAAATTCTAGTGATATCTTCTATCATGCATTCCTTGCTTATGATCATAAACAAAAAATTGGTATTTGGTTTGTCTCTAGTCTTAGATTTAGAGTAGTTTGGTTTGTCTATGCAATATGAAATTGGTATTTGAGTTAAGTTGTTTGTTATCTCATAGAACTCTCTCTTGATGGAGACAATATGGTGTGTGCGAGTCTGCCTCGTCAATCATATGAGGTTAGCTTGTACTAACAAATTAATAAAGGAAGATTTAAATGCTTTATAGTAGCATGATTCATCTTCAATCTTAGGGATATAATTTTTGTTTTGTTGCATAAAATAGTGATAAGAAATAAAAAATAGAAAAAACAAA